TACAATACAGGCTAGACAGCAGCATCAGTTTACGATTAATATGTGGGCTGGAATTATAGGTGACTGTCTGGTAGGTCCATATGTTCACCCAGCACATCTTGCAGAGACTTTATTTCAAACACACTTCCAGACCTGCTAGAGAATGTACCCCTGCTAATACGAAGTCGCGTGTAATTCGTGCATGATCGCGCTCCAGTACATTTTTCACTGGCTAACATCTACAATGAAACATGTATAGGTACAAGAGGACTGCTTCCATGGCCTGCACCTTCCCCCAACATCAATCCTTTGGATTTTTATCTGTGGGGTCATCTAAAACAATTGGTTTATGCATCAGACATTAATAATGCAGAGACGCTTCATCAACGTGTCATTGGGACCTGTGAAACCATTCGACCTCTTGTGGGAGTATTTGAAAAGGTCCGCCAGTCAATGATCCGACGGGTGCATGCGTGTGTAGAAGCAAGCGGAGGATATTTTGAACATTTGTTATGAGTTGCTGCGTTGAAGTACAACAATGGCCTTTTAAACATGTTTACATGGACATTTTACCTTGTTTTGGTGTCAGGAAACCGGCTTCAAAATGGGTAAAATTATTTTGATAGGCCCTGTATATACAGTTAGAGGCCTCCTATTCAGAGTAGTTCGGATATGAGGACGGGTTCGGATGTAATGTGGCCTGTGTAATTTAGCTATAGCTTAAAACACAAGAAATTATCGCAATATATGAACAATCAAGTGTCTCACAAAAGTAAATATTAATTTGTAATGTTTAATGCTCAATAAGTTTTATTCTCAATTGTTTTTTCTTATTTCCTTTCTCATTTCAATTACTTTTCGTTGTTCTGGGTTTTTTAACGTAAGGCAAATTACCTGCACTTGTACACTGTGCACCTGGGAACAAAATTTTTTTCTCTGTAAATTTGATGACTTCATCAATAGCTTTCTCTACTGAGTCCCAGTTTTCATCATCATCCTTCATATTTTCTCCACCATCGGAAGAATTTGATTCTTTATTTATTTTTGGACAACCCAACCCATTTTGAAGCGATTCTACCATTGAATTTTTTGTAATTCATTAGTGTCTTCATTTATCCATTCTTTTAAGCCACCCAAAGTGAGAGTATTCAGTGGATCATCTTCAAGCGCAAGTTTTAGTGTTTCATTCAAATCTTTGTTTGTTAATTTGTAAATTCAACGAATTAGGAGCTTCGTTCATTTTTTCAATAATCGCTAATTTCTGATGTGACGTGAAAGAATTTCTTTGTCTTTTTCTTCCAGTTGAAGTTTCTTCTGTGCAAGACATTATGGGTTGAGAAATTTCAAGTTACTAACAATTATCTTCAAAGAAAAGAAAAATATTAGAATGTAGCATATTTCTACAACATATAAAATGGCAACACTAAGAAGTTCGGATATGAGGACTTCTACTATATATATATATATATATATATATATATATATATATATATAGGGAGAGAGAGAGAGAGAGAGAGAGAGAGAGAGAATGCTGAGACAGAGAGGAACAAACTGAGGCAGATATATAGATATTAACAGACTGAGATAGATCTAAATCCTAAATAAATGTGCCCCTGGACTGGTTTGTTCTCTCCAAACCCTACAACAAATGCCTTACTGTCTCCAAAACGAAACTGCTATCGTTTAGCCACCATAGAGAACTGTTTTTACCTTCTATTAGCATGGCTGACGCTAATATCCAGAAGAGCCACTATATAAATTGATTAGATAGATAGATAGATAGATAGATTGATAGATATTTAACAACTTTAAAAATTTCACTTTTATGGATATGGAGAAAAATAAGAAAGAATTTTTTTTTCTGTGTCGTTTAATTTTCATTGGTTAACCAGGTTTCACGTGCATTTGACTTGTTAAACTAACGTTAGTATAATTCATGCCGTTCTGAATTCAAGGCAAGACGATGCGTCTTTTCGAAGTTCCAAGAAAAGGAGTTTTTCAGATATATATTTTATGTTATTTTCCATAAAAAGATAAGATCAAAGGCCTTTCTCTGACCAGTCCTAATTGTTTATTACTGTTTAAGACTTTTCCACTAGTTCAAGAAGAATTCGGATTACTGCCACACACGAAAGACAATAGATTAACATAAGAAAGCATGAAAAAAATTAACTCATTCAAATAACATGCGGAAATAACCATTCTTCGACTGATGAACGTCACGGAACCCAAAACACGTACAGCAAAAAAAATATGGAAATAAAGTATAATATATATTTTTAAAATCAGAATAAGAAATCCAACAAATCGTTACTACTAACACAAAATGCTATTATCTGTAGATAAAAAATGTAAAAAAAGATAAATCAAATACTACCAGCATTAAGCATAAAAAACAAACATCAATAAAATGGTAGAAATGGACGGAGTAAATATATTTCAAAAAAAAAAAAAAAAGAGAAAGACGCGATAATGCGAAGACACGATATTTTAAAAATGAAGAAACTGACATGAGCACAAAAAACAAAACTTCTTTGATAATAGTTTATGAGCAAACATGGACCTTCGTGACCGCAATAAAAACGGATTTTCCCTTGACACCGCTTTTTTAAGCAATTTCACTCTTCTCGTTTTAAAAAGCGACGATTAGAATTGGAATAAAACCTAAACATAGGAAAGTGAATTTAAACATTTTCTTTGTTCTTGAGAACTGACAACAAAATAATAATCGCTATTTATTTATATTGTTTATTGGAATGGTTAGCAAATCATTGGCTAATTGCCAATCGATTCAAACTTTATAAAATGGTAAATAATAAGTATTTCCTTATAGTTGGTTCACATATTTTGATAATTTAGTAAATGTTTATAAATCTATGAATAAAAAATGTTTTCATATTTATTTCTTTATAAATTGGTAAATGAGAAATACTGCATTCCATTAGATTTAAAACAATTGTATTAGTTTTTGGTGCTACTGTAGCGTGAGGTCTCCCTCTTGTTTCATGTATTTAGAAAATGCGAGACCTCACCTGACCTGATCCATGTTATACCTCACCTGACCTGGTGGTCACGTGAGGGGAGAGGCACGACCTATTGAGGTAGACCTCACGCTATAGTATCACCTAGTTTTTTAGTAAATATAAAATTACTCTTGTAAATAATCTAATAAATAAATAGTATTTAATATTTTGTTGTACTAGTGTAATATTTTTGTTTCATATTTTTGTCAAGAACAAAAAAATGTATAAATTCACTTTCATATGGTTAGGTTTTATTACAATTCTAATCATTTTTAAGGCAAATAACGAGGGAGTGAAGATAGTTAAAATAAAAGCGGTGTCATTGTAAAAACCGTCCTTTTGACAGTGCGTTTTTTTTTGTTTTGTTTTTGTTTTTTTGTTTTTTTTGTTGTTTTTTGTTTTTTGGCGGGCACGAAGGTGCATGTTTGCAAGTTTATGAAAGTCGAAAGTAGTCGGAAAATTTATATTTAAATATGTACGGGAAACCAGGAAAATGTTCTGAAATATAGAACAAATAAAAAAAATCCTTAATAAAGAACTTTATTTAGTCTTTACCCAAACCTGTATAATTTATGTGTGGATGTGCACAACAGAATAATGGTTTTGTGTGTTAGCTTCATAAACCCTTTTCTTGCGTTTATACTTTCTTTCTTCTTTTGTCTTCATATTAAATGAAGCAAACTAAATCTGGAGTGACTAATAAAAGAAAAGTATTATTTTTTTTTTTTGACAAAGCAACCTGCATTCGACGAAATACAAGTCCTTTCTCATTTAGCTGCTAATGATGACTGTGCCAAGTGTCAATGATTTTACAAACAACTGTTTATACTGGAGCTTCGACTACTTCACAGATCGTACAGCGTTTATCTGGAGTGAACATATGTTTGAGGCATTGATGCCAACACCATATGCCAATGTCAGCGGCCTGCCTCTCTTACAGAAAGATTTTGGTGTTTATGACATCGACTGCTTCAACAAAGAAAATAGAAAAAAATGAAGAAATTGAGATAGAGAGAAAGAAGAAGAAGATGAAGGAGGAGGAAGAGGAGGAAGAAGGAAAAAGGACAAAGAGGGACGAAGAAGAAATAAAAAAGGATGAAGAAGGAGGAAAAGAAGAAGAATAGCGAAGAGGAAGGATGAAGAAAAAGAAGAAGAAGAGGAAGAGGAAGAAGGACAAAGAATAAGGACGAAAAAGAAGACGAAGGGCGAAGAAGAAGGATGAAGAAGGACGAAGAAGAAGAAGACAAAAAGAAGGACAACGAAGAAAGACGAAGAAAAGAAGTAAAAGGATAAAGAGGAAGGACAAAAAAGAAAGACGAAGAAGGCCAAGAAAAATGAAGGACGAAGAAGAAAGGTGAAGAAGGACAAAGAAGATGGTTGAAGAAGAAGAAGAAGAAGAAGGAGGAGGAGGAGGAGGAGGAGTGGGAGTAAGAAGAAAAAGGACAAAGAGGGACGAAGAAGAAATAAGAAGAAGGATGAAGAAGAAGGAAAAGAAGAAGAATAACGAAGATGGATGAAGAAAAAGAAAGGGAATGAAGAAGAAGAAGAAGAAGAAGAAGAAGAAGAAGAAGAAGAAGAAGAAGAAGAAGAAGAAGAAGGACAAAGAATAAGGACGAAAAAGAAGACGAAGGGCGAAAAAGAAGGATGAAGAAGAAGGACAAAGAAGAAAAAGAACAAAAAGAAGGACAACGAAGAAGGACGAAGAAGATGGTTGAAGAAGAAAGACAAAGAAGAAGAAGAAGAAGATGGGGAGAAAAGTAGGGAGAAGGAGGAAAGGCGTGAAGAAAATGATGAAGTAAAAGAGGAATATGTGGAATTTGATGATGGAAGTGTAGGAGGAAAAAGAAGAAAAGGAAAACAAGTAAGAAGTATCAGAAAAAAAGAAATAATTGACAGTGAGATGCGTTCAAGTCTATTTATTTATTTATTTATTTATTATTAGTAGTAGTAGTAGTTTGGGGTTGAGGGGCTGCAGAGGTCAAAATTTTGGCATCAAATATGGCATCCTATTTTACCTTTCGCCGTGGCCCTCCCACGTTACAGCGTTTTTCTTCAGCTTCCACCAGTCTGGCTGGCCTAAGCGCCTGTGAAATTCTCATTCGCCAGTCCACATTGATTAAAAGCTTTTCTGTGATCTCTTCCGGAAAGAAGAATATTTGCATTCGGGGCGAAAAAAAAGTTTTATCCAACAAAATGTTTAAAAAAAAAAAAAAAACAATTTCTATTTTCTTTACATTTCCCCAGCTCCCAGCTATATATATATATATATATATATATATATATATATATATATATATATATATATATATATATATATATATATATATTTATTGCAGCAATCCTTAATTTATGCATGTTTCATTAAAAACGACAGACAAGGTACTGCGGTTAAGTTTTTTTATTTACTTTTTCTTGTGTTCGAACAAGTGTTTTCTTTTTTGGACACAGTATGTGTGTAGAAATTGTTCAAATCTTTTATAGTTCCAAGCGCTTTCGACTATACTTTTAGCCATTATCAAAGATGATTCTATTTTTTCAGTTTAGTTGAGTCTATGCGTTATGTGTATATTTTTAGTGTGTTATAGAGATGTTTTATTTTCCGAACACGGTTGGCACATTGTGGCCTTGTTCGTAGTTAATATTGTTAAGATTTGGCTTTTTCTTTTTTATCAGAGCTTTCGTTATTTTTAATCTTTTTCTATAGGTGGATGAGGTTATTTTGTTTGTGTTTTCTACTAGTATCTTTTGAATGGAGCCTGGTACGTTTGTGTGTGCGTTTAAATGGGTTGTAATAGATCTCTGGTCAGATAGGTGGAAACGTAAGGCGACTTGATAGGCATGTAATTATTTATGAATTTGGTTTGATCAGGAACACAGTTCCTTAAAGGGCATTTGGACTAATAGATAATGTTCGTTCGTTGTAATTTTGACTTTGATGGTGTGTTGTCATTTTTGAGGATAAGGTAAACTGTCTTAAAGTTTTTATAGCAGATAATTAATTTGATTTTTTTATTCGGGTCAATTGGGGTAGTGTATTTCTTTATATATTCTTTATATATATATATATATATTAATTTGCAACGCGTAGCTTAGATGTGGCACAATGCCGAAACTAAGGATTCATTACACAGTAGTTATAGATCTAGTGGAACTAGCTTGTTAATTGTTACACTACTTCAAGCTGCCATATATATATATATATATATATATATATATGCCGGGTGTAGCAGCAAAATTGTACAAATCGTGTAACACCAAAATTGCCCAGTTTTTAGATTAAGCCTTGAACCTCTTAAAAATGATTAACTATATCATACAGAAATTCTCCGAGGTGTTTATAACACTATTGGACTCTACTTTGAACAATAAGAATGTGTTTAGCTCGAAGTTAAAACGATGATCTCTCTTCCTGTGATGGCCTCCTGGTCCAGTTTTTCCCTCTTTTTTAAACTTATTCATCGTTCTGTTGATGGTTCTTGAATGGACTCTGAAGATGGAAGCCAGAATATAAATGTTGGTACCATTACGGAAAGCCTGAATGATCTTTTCCCTCTCACCATTGCTCAGTTGGGAAGACATAGTGGAGCTGACACAAAACGATTTTAACCTGTTCTCTTTCCAGCTTAATACCTCAAAGTTTTTCAGTGATTCTTACGACAAATGGCGTCAAGATGGTTAAACGTCTTACCTGAATACTTGGAAAAAGAAACCCAGTTAGTTTAGTGTTTTTTGTTTTGTTTTTTTTTAGATATTAAACATTTCGTGGGATGCTCCCATGCTGTTACACGATTTGGACAATTTTGCTGTTACACCCGGTATATAGCCTGAGGACTGCGTTCAAGCATGAAACAGACTGTCCTCACACGATGTTGACCTTTTATATTTACACACGATCTGACCCAGATATTGAGCCCATAACCTTGAACATGTAATATTATTTCCCGAAAACATTAGCTTCTAAAACTTTTATATAACTCTTATTAGATTGTCTGCTAAAGAAATTCTATTACTTTTTAAAAAACATTGATCAAATTTTGAAGCACCGAAGTTTTTTTCTTTTTTTTTTTTTTCGCCATCCCTTAAGATAGTTACACGGATTCCGTTTCTTTATTATCTGTCAATTGCCATCATTTTTTAATTGTCTAATAACCCCTAATAAGATGATAAAGCCACTAAGATGGAAGAAATTACATTGAAGAAATGGCAGTAAACGATACTGACTATTTGGTTTCTTTTGGTTTGTTTAATGCCATATCAATTCTTCATGGGTCATTTAATGTCCAAATTTCCTTGGGAGCTTTAGTAATTTTATGTTTTGCTTTTAAAATCTATTGTTGGAATTTTTTTTTTAGTATTTATTGCTGGAATTTTTACTATGTATTTTCTGTCTATTTCTGGAAACTTGTTTGTCTATCTATTGCTGGAAATTTGGTTTTTACTATGTATTAGTGGAAATTCTTTTTTACTATTGCTGGAAGTTTTTACTAACTATTGTGGGAATTTTTACTATGTATTACTAGATTTTTTTTCTCTCTCTGGAAATTTTGTTTTCCTATCTATTTCTGAACATTTTTTTTACTATCTACTGCTAGAAATTCTTTTTTAGTATCAACTGCTGGAATTTTTTTACTATCATTGTAGGAATTTTTACTATGTATTACTAGATTTTTTTTCTCTCTCTGAAAATTTTGTTTTACTATCTATTGCTGGTCATTCTTGCTTTACTATGTATTGTTGGAATACATAGTAAAAATTCCAACAATGATAGTAAAAAAATTCCAGCAGTTGATACTAAAAAGAATTTCTAGCAGTAGATAGTAAAAAAAATGTTCAGAAATAGATAGGAAAACAAAATTTCGAGTAATAGATAGTAAGAAACATATTTCCAGCAATAGATAGGAAAACAAAATTTCCAGCGATAGATAAAAAAAAAATTTCTAGTAATACATGGTAAAAAATTCCCACAATAAATAGTAAAAAAATCTAGTAATAGACAGTAAAAAACAATTTCCAGTAATAGATAGATAGTAAAACAGAATTTCCAGAGGTAGAACAAAAAAAATTTAGCTTGCTGCCTACCATACATTCTGTTTTGTTGATGGCTAGTTTTTTGCTTAACAATTTCATTTACTGCAATTTTTTTTATCGTAAGAGCGACACTGAAACCCAAAGGCACATTGGGATAGCGATTCAAAAAGCTAAGCAAAGTATTAAGGAACAGGAAAAAAAAGATTTTTGCTGTTTCTTCTATCAGTACACAGGATGGAAAGTATGACACTGAGATCTGAAAGAGCATTGCGATAGAGAAAGACGCCTTCCAAAAGCTAAGCAAAGTATTAAGAAACAGAAAATGTTTATTAAAAACAAAGAGACGAGTACTAACATGTTATGTAATATCAGTCCTCCTATATAGCAGTGAATGCTGAACAACATCGTCACAAATGAAGAAGAGACTTGAAGCAATAGAAATACAATGGACCTAACGTGAGCAAACGATGAAAATTTAGAGAAAATGAAAACAAAAAGGAAGACAACAGGAAAAGACAGCTGAAACTTCTAAAGCATATAATGATGAAAGAAGGCTTGGAGAATTTGATACTCACAAGACATTGAAGGCAAAAGAGTTAGAGAAAAAACACGCCTAAACTACCTGGCGAGTTTGATTAAATGAATCGCAGTACAATGTTTAAGAAAGATAACAAAAAGACAAAATTTATTAAGCGCTACAAAGGACAGGAAATCGTGGAGAGCCATGATCGCCAACGCTCTGAGGGACACAGCACATAGAAGATGGATGAGCTTGGGTGAACGGATGACGGAGCAAGGTTTAGGAGATAACAAAAATACAAAATTTATTAAGCGCTACAAAGGACAGGAAATCGTGGAGAGCCATGATCGCCAACGTTCTGAGAGACACAGCACATAGAAGAAGGGCGGGCTTGGGTGAATGGATGACGGAGCAAGGTTTAGGAGATAACAAAAAGACAAAATTTATTAAGCGCTACAAAGGACAGGAAATTGTGGAGAGCCATGATCGCCAACGTTCTGAGGGACACAGCACATAGAAGAAGGATGGGCTTGGGTGAATGGATGACGGAGCAAGGTTTAGGAGATAAAAAGAAGATACAATTTATTAAGCGCTACAAAGGGTAGGAGATTGTGGAGAGCCATGATCATCAATGTCCTGAAGGGACAAAGAAGAAGAAGAAGAAGAAGAAGAAGAAGAAGAAGAAGAAGAAGAAGAAGAAAAGAAGAAATCAACACGGATCCATATGTTAAAAAGTATATCAATAATAATTCCTGGGAAGAGTTGTTTTTCTCGGGACCGCCCTTGCTCTAAGTCCGTGGATTTAGGCTTGTGGATTTATTTAGATTTAGCGTCGTGTCCAATTAAACTATTCAACTGAACAGCATAATATTTGGAGTTTTAAAGAGAATAAAGTTATTTGAATTTAATCCTCGCTCTCAGGATCCCTTGGCATTAGTAAATTTATTGAATGTAAACCTACATGATCAACAAGAATCAAAAATCGTTCATTTTGCTTCGAACCTGACTTTACATAAAGTACTGACCAGAAAGAGGTTGCAATTTGCCATAGGCTTTTGATAAGTACTCCATTTTCTTTCATTATTTATTTATTTATATTTTGTTAGATGCTACCCGCCCCCATCTCTTTCGATTATCCACCCCTTTCAGAAAAAAAAAACGTTCACCTTTATACCGCTGCCTCGAGCAACCATCATGTCGGCGCGGCTGGTAAGTGACACTTTATTCTCACTTGCGTCAAGATAACTGCAAGATACAAACGCACTCAGCCTGCCAAAATATTTTCCTCCTCCTCCTCCCTCTCCTCCTCCTCCTCCTCCTCTACCTTCTTCTTCGTCTTTTTCTTCCTTTCCTCTTCTTCAATCTTCTTCCGTTTTCTTATCGTCTTCTTCACTTTCCTCTTCTTGATCTTCTTCTCTTTATCTTCTCTTCCTCCCCTACACACCTACTCTTCCTTATTCGTCTTTTCTCCCTCTTCTCTTCCTCCTCCTTCTCTTCCTCTTCTTCCTCCTCCTTTTTCTTCTCCTCCTCCTCCTCCTCCTTTTTCTTCGTCTCTTCTTATTTTCTTCTCTTTCTTATTCTCCCTTCTTTTCCTTCTTCTTTATCTGTTATTCATCAGAATATTCAGTGTAAAATTCACGCCTAAAAAAAAACACCCTCCCCGCTTCCATCTTCATCTAGTTAGCAGGCGAAGGTCGTTTTTGCTTACAAAATCCGGTTCTTGTTTTTTTTTGTTTGTTTGTTTTTATTTTTTGACACCTTCTACACACACTTCTCCCTGCTTTCATTTCAGACCCTGTCAAAATCCTAAAATAAGGAACAACTTAACTCTAGTGCCAATTTTCCTTTTTCCATTAATTTCACTATCACACTTAATCTTTTTCATTTGCTCGTTTCAAATTCTGGAGAAAATGAATTCAGATGCAAGTTAGTAAAGAACGCGGAACACATGACCTAAACGGTAAAAGAAAATCGCTTTTTCTCTTCTTTTTCAAACCGCATGTGGCGTTTACATTTTTTCACTAATGTTACACTCAATAAATATATATATATATGTATATATTGCGTATATTTTGGCAGCATGTTTTCATTGAGACATGTTTCATTGAATAATTTAGACAAGATTTGTCTTAAAAGTAATAGTCTTATATAAAAGCAACAGCCTGATGATGATATTGCGCTAATGTCGAAAGTACTCGGAATCAATGAATAAGTATCAACACGATAATTTTCTCTCTTCTTTTAATAGCTATACCAAGAAGCTTGTTTCTGAATATTAAATGATCCAATTAAAATAAGTAAAACTTGTCTAAATTATTCAATGAATCATATCCCTATATATATATATATATATATATATATATATATATATATATATATATATATATTAATTATATTAATTATAATATATATATAGAACTAAACTTAGAACAGAAATCACCTGAAATTATTTCAACGTTGAAACAAGATCATATGGGTACGTGCCTATATATAAAATAAATATTTATATATATATATATAATTTTTGTACGCATAATTTTACCCTTTATTTTTATATATATATATATATATATATATTATATTATATATATATATATATATATATTATTATGAAAAAATATATCTAAAAAATTACATTATATTTTCAGAAAAATTTTCCAAGAGGAAGGATCAGAAACTCAATGTCTAGGACAGAAAAGGATATAATAAAAAGCTTAAACACTAGATTCCATGGTCAAATTTATTCCATTGAATCGTAAATGAGTTCATCAGACCTACAAATTCAAAAGAAAAAACAGAAAAAACAACTCCGGAAATCAAAACAGAATTTAGAGATAGGAAGGGAAAAAAAAGGAAGGGTGGGGAGAGAGATGGGACGAAGGAAAATAAAATTGTGTTTACTTAAAGGGCCGCTTTGTAATTGGGAAAATTAGTATAGACTACAGGTTATGAATCAAATATAAATATATGAAGATGAATATAACGATTCCGAAAACTCTCTCTGTTAAAGTTTCATGTCACTCATCCTCATACTTACACTTTCTCTAAATTCTGTTTTGATTTCCGGAGTTGTTTTTTTCTGTTTTCATTTTGAATTTGTAGGTCTGATGATTTGGATCGTATTTACGATTCCAATGGAATAAATTATGACCATGGAATATTAGTGTTTAAGCCTTTTTTATATATATATATATATATATATATATATATATATATATATATATATATATATATATATATATATATATATATATATTGGGCACCTCGAGGTGGTATAATGGTTAGCAAGTTTGTCTTACTAGATCAATTACGACTGATTAGTGAGATCGATTCTCACTGGGTGCCTCCATACTTTCGGCCTTGTGCCGCGTCTAAGCTTACGCTTGGAAAATAACTATATATATATATATATATATATATATATATATATATATATATATATATATATTGCATATATATGTCAATTGATTGATTAAGTTTTCAATCTTATAAAACAAGCCCTAAACTTGTTCTTTTTTTTCTTAATCACTTCATCCCGAACAAGGCGGGAATGCCACTAGTAACGGGTTACAGGGAGTGAAAGTGAGAGAAAAGACTGGGTATAGGGAAGATTGATGAAAGGACAAAAGATGAACAAGATTCAAGAAGACAGAAGATGCATTTAAATTTTAGAAGATTGTAGTTATGAGAGAAGCAAGTGATGTCAACAGGCGGTAAGTGCGAGAAAAGAAACTGCTGGTGTAGACATGGCGGTTACATTTAGTTAGAATCAGGAAATGGTATCAAAATAAAGCCAATATATTTATCTTTAAAATTACGGTGGTTCATCGATAATCAATGTTGCCAACCATATTAAACAAGTTCTAGATATTATAGAATAATTAAACTGATATCAAAATGAAGCACAATTTATTTTTCTTCAAAATTACGGGGGTTGTAATATCGGTCCAGTGAGTGCTGGACAATCTCCTCAAAGATGAAGAAGGGGCTTAACATGGTTCTAGGGAAGAATTCTGAGAATGACATGGACTGAATATGTAAGCAATGACGATGCTTTGGAGAAAATGGAAACCAAAACACTTATACATGATACCAGAAAGAAACAGTTGAAATTTCTAGGGAAATAATGAGAAAGGAAGGCTTGGAAAATTTAACACTCACAGGTCTTATTGAAGGCAAACGAAATATAGGAAAACAATGCATAACCTACCTAACGATCTAATGTAGCTAGATGGCAGAACAGGTTCAGGAGAGATAGCAAAAAAAATACTCAGAGCTACAAAGGAGATGAAAGCGTGGAGATCCATGATCGTCAACGTCTTGAATGGTTTTATAGTTGTGATAGGTTTGATAAGTACTAAGATGCGTCTAACTTTATTAAGGTTATTATATCGTTCATTCTTGTATTTTATAAATTTGAAGAGCTTTCCGTTTCGCACTAAATATGAAATAATGAAGGAGTAATTTCGATGTATTTATATTCATCATGTAAATATTGAGGTCTACAAATTCTCTTAAATAGAATCTGATACTCATTCCGGTTTTCATTATGTTGTTATAGTGAGAGTAGAACATTACGAGATCATTTTTATTGGTAGATTTACAATAGACACTTGGCTATGGATTATTATTAGTATTGAGTAATATTATATTGAAGAAAGTTAGGTACCTCCAATTTTTCAAAGTTTTATCGTCAAAATGTTTATTAAGAGGAAAGGCTAAAGTATTTTTGATTTTTTTATTAATTTTTTAATCCTTTCCAGCAGGCTCGAAATTTTTGTTAAAATCTTGTTTTTCTTGTGTCAGCGAGTGCACCAAAGATTACGATAGAGACATTTAGCGTCTCTTTTGGTGTTAAAAATATATTGTTTTCGAAATTCTTGCAAAAACAAATAATTGTAGATTTTAATGAAATTTACACGACTTATTCACAAATGAATTAAATTATTGTTGAAGCTTTTTTTTTTAGAAAATCTAGGCAATATTTTTATATTTGTTACTTCTACTTATTATTGTCAAACAGAAACACCATTTACCGAAAATCTGTTCTGAATCGTAAAATAAAAAATGCGATAAAATTATCTAATTATTTAATTAGAAAAGTTTTTAGTTGCTTTTATAAATACGATATATTAAGGACACTTTTTTTTTCTTTTCTAACAGTCTCAAGAAAAAACAAAAATTTCTATGAATAATGAAATTTTACAAGAATTGTTTCAAATTTTTAAAGTTTTAATGAGAAAAAGTTATGAAATTTTTAAAATTATGTATTAATTTAAGCCATTTAGATTATATTATTATCACATGAAAACTATATTTAATAATCATAATTGGAAAAGATTAATACAAATCATCAATCAACAGTATTTTTAAAAGAATTTAAAATTTGTGTATGTGTTTGTGTGTGTGTATAAGCGTGCCGATTTTTGGTCGACTATACACGACATTATCAGAAAATGATAGTGATGACTATAGTAAATTTAAAGCCAAAATTTCTAAAATTCAATAAAGCATTAGATTATGGAAAATATTTCCTAAATTACTGAGTACTGAAAAAATAAAATATAATAATATAAAAGGCATTCGCGTTATTTTCTTCAAGAATATTTTAATGCAACTTACAATATACAACAAATACGTATAAATGTATATCTATACATATTATTGAACAAGACGAACAAAACTGATTGCAGCCAAATACACAACTATATATATATACATTTTAAGACATTTTTATGTTTAACATTCTTTTTATAGATACAAATATTTAAGTAAATGCTCTGTTTATAAACAGACCATTTACTTAAATATTTGTATCTATAAAAAGAATGTTAAATATAAAAATGTCTTAAAATAATTGTTGTCCTTTTCATAATGTGTGACGTCATATATATATATATATATATATATATATATATATATAGTGCGATGGGTAAATCGTCGCCATTTTTTATTAGGCGTATGCACCTCGTTTGTTTTTTGATTTTGTTGACTGCACAGTATAGTAGGGTCAGTTGGGCACCGTTTGTGAGAAAAAGAGCACCATGATCCAATTTACTATGCCAGAAAATTGGAATCAACATGGTGTACTGCTTGGCATTCGCGCCGAAAGCTCCAATATGTACATTTCAGAGTGTTTGATTGTCAATCTGAGATTAATGCAGAGGATTCGGAAAGAGATGAATGAGTCTAGTGGTGATTACGAAGGTGTTTGGAGTGTCGCTAGCGATGGCCTCGTTATGCCTCCATTCATCTTTCCACAGGGCCTCACACTCATCATGGAAGTCTATATCATATGCTTTGAGGAGTTAGTGCTGCCCTGAGTCAAGTGGGTAATTCTGGAAGACCCTATGCCTGACAACAAAACTTTGCACACAAGTAGGAGAACCCAATCATAGCTGTCAGATAATTTTTGTGACCAGATCAACCCTTACATCTGGTTACCTAACTCCCCAGACTGCAACCTCCTTGACTATTGTGTGTGAGATGCAGTTGAGCAAGAGACCAACAAAACTCCTTGTGACAACAAAGATGAACTGAAGGCAAGGATTATGGCAGTATTCCCCAACTTAAAAAAGAAGACCGCCCAGAAGAGTTGCAGAAGATTCTGAAGTTGTCTGAAGGCAGTGGTTGAAGGCAATGAAG